GGCCAAGGTAACACTTGAACATCGTTTGCTGGTGGAAGTCTTGTCAAACACTTGCAACGTGAGGTCGAGCATTTTCATGCTCCAAAGATCAACCGTTGACGTTGATGAATGGAATGACGTGACGTTGAACTGGTCTTCTGGCAAACAATCTGGCTTCCCATAGCGCACCGTCTGGTCGAAGATTCGGGGCAGTCCAGGGATTTGGAGTGTTGTGAATGATGCTGCCGTGGTGTTTGAACGAAGATGTCTCAACCGGATGTAGCGATTCTGGGCAACGGTCGTAGCTCTAGGTCGACCTGACATTAACACTCACAGCATTGTTGTATCAGGTCCATATGTTTGCGATGGTCTGTCTGGACACGCTGAAGTGCCTTGCCACCTCATGCTGCAATGGCGTTGTGTCGTTGAGCTTCTGTCAGTCTCTTCATTCCCTTGTCGTCTATAGTGGCTTAAATCAATACATGTGGAGTACCATTGATGTGGCTTTTAAAGCCTACATTCATAGGTTTCGGCTCATGGTGATACACAATTTCAAGATGCACGTGCATTACATGTGGGGTGCATTACAGACGTGAGTGTACCGTTACGTTTTTGTTCAACGTTTCTTTCTCAAACGTTTTGTTGTCGGTAACCATTCCCCAACATGTTGGGATTCAGCATGGATTGGCTTGTGTCAAATATTTTCCTAAATTCAAATGGTTCCTATGTCATTTATTTTCTTTGAAGAGTATATACTGTCCACAGTTCATCTATGTATAACGTATATACAATGCAAATACGATCGATAGTTTACATTTTCCTGACATGGTGATGGAAAATGGGTATTGTGTACGGTTGACATATATGTTCCAGGATGGCCTTTCAAACGTAGCACTTGTTCAGGTGTACTGTACCTTCTTCGATGTACTGATTTAGTAGTTCTCCACTTACCCTAAAGGTCATAGTAGAGCTTATTATATACCAGTTTCGCAAAAGAAATACAGGTGAACCTGGGACGCCCACATTAGCTGGCAGGCAGAAGGCCAAGGACTAGCAAAGAGGCCCAGGGATGATATGGGCTTCGTACGAGAACTGCCAAAAGAATAGTCATTGTTGCCAAATACCACGATATCAAATTATAGAACGTCTCCATTCATGAAAGGTGGTTCCTTCTTGCGGGTTTCACATGGAACCGACTGCGACTAAGTTGTTTCCGAAGGTAGCTATATTAACTTACACTGACCCCCTGATCCAGTCCTGAGATCTGCGACCTCAAAATCAAATCGCTCATTCAGTGAGTGAGTGAGTGACTTTAGCTTTACCCCGCGTATAGCAATATTCCAGCAATATCACGGCGCGAGACACCAGAAGTGGGCTTCACATATTGTTCCCATATAGGGAATTGAACCCCGATCTACGGAGTGACGATCGAACGCTTTAACCACTAGGCTACCCCACAGCCCCCACTCATTGAGAATGTATTGACAAGCCATATCAGTCTTAATACGTATATGTTTATTACACAACCGTTTCTGTGTTGCCTCTTTAGCATGTGGAACATGAATAATATCATAAATACATTTATCTTAATTTTCATTAAACTAATGGCTTCTGCGTTATAGTACATGCAACCATCTCATAAGCGGGCTAAACCTTTCGTGAGGACCATTGCGAAATTATTCAACACACATTATTTCATCTCGGATAAAGAACGTTGACGGTCTGAAATGCACCGATGTTGATCAGAAAAAAATTGGTTGAAGGGGAATAATTCGGTTCGGTGCGTCGACTGCTACCATTCGTATAAGATATATAGCAGTATGTGTACATGTTGCATAACAGGTTGTGTGATGATATAAAGCAGGGTGAGAAATAACATATATTATGCAATGAAACCATTGTATAGCGCTAAATGTAATTTAGAAACTAAAACAACCTAAGGCGCTTCGCAGAAAGTGAGTGAGTGAGTGAGTTTAGTTTTACGGTTGTTGTGCAATGGTATATAGCAGGTTGTGTAATGATATATAGCAGGTTGTGTAATGATGTATAGCAGGTTGTGTAATGATGTATAGCAGGTTGTGTAATGATATATAGCAGGTTGTGTAATGATGTATAGCAGGTTGTGTGATGCTATATAGTAGGTTGTGCAATGATATATAGCAGTTTGTGTACTGATGTATAGTAGGTTATGTAATTGTGTATAGCAGATTGTGTAATGATGTATAGCAGGTTGTGTAATGATGTATAGCGGGTTGTGTAATGATGTATAGCAGGTTGTGTAATTGTGCATAGCAGGTTGTGTAATGATATATAGCAGGTTGTGTTATGATATATATCAGGTTGTGTCATGATGAATAGCAGGTTCTGTAATGATATATAGCAGGAACTGTAATGATGTATAGCAGGTTGTGTGATGATATATAGTAGGTTCGGTGCGTCGACTGCTACCATTCGTATAAGATATATAGCAGTGTGTGTACATGTTGCATAACAGGTTGTGTGATGATATAAAGCAGGGTGAGAAATAACATATATTATGCAATGAAACCATTGTATAGCGCTAAATGTAATTTATAGAAACTAAAACAACCTAATGATGTATAGAAAGTGAGTGTAGTGAGTTTATAGCACGGTTGTTGTAAATGGTATATAGCAGGTTGTGTAATGATATATAGCAGGTTGTGTAATGATGTATAGCAGGTTGTGTAATGATGTATAGCAGGTTGTGTAATGATATATAGCAGGTTGTGTAATGATGTATAGCAGGTTGTGTAATGATGTATAGCAGGTTGTGTAATGATATATAGCAGTATGTGTACATGTTGCATAACAGGTTGTGTAATGATATATAGCAGGTTGTGTGATGCTATATAGTAGGTTGTGCAATGATATATAGTAGGTTATGTAATTGTGTATAGCAGATTGTGTAATGTTGTATAGCAGGTTGTGTAATGATGTATAGCGGGTTGTGTAATGATGTATAGCAGGTTGTGTAATTGTGCATAGCAGGTTGTGTAATGATATATAGCAGGTTGTGTTATGATATATCTCAGGTTGTGCATGATGAATAGCAGGTTCTGTAATGATATATAGCAGGAACTGTAATGATGTATAAGCAGGTTGTGTGATGATATATAGTAGGTTGTGCAATGATATATAGCAGCTTGTGTACTGATGTATAGTAGGTTGTGTAATGATATATAGCAGGTTGTGTAATGATGTATAGCAGGTTGTTTGATGATATATATCAGGTTGTGTAATGATATACAGCAGGTTGTGTAATGATGTATAACAGGTTGTCTGATGATATATATCAGGATGTGTAATGATATATAGCAGGTTGTGTAATGATGTATAGCACGTTGTGTAATGATGTATTGCAGGTGGTGTAATTGTGTATAGCAGGTTGTGTAATGATATATAACAGGTTGTGTAATTGTGTATAGCAGGCTGTGTAATGATGTGTAGCAAGTTGTGTAATCATGTATAGCAGGTTGTGTAATGATGTTTAGCGGTTTGTGTAATGATATATGAGCTTGTGTAATTCTGTATAGCAGGTTGTGTAATGATTTATAGCAGGTTGTGTAATGATATATAACAGGTTGAGTAATTGCGTATAGCAGGTTGTGTAATGATGTATAGCAGGTTGTGTAATGATGTATAGCAGGTTGTGTAATTGTGTATAGCAGGTTGTGTAATTGTGTATGGCAGGTTGTGTAATGATGTATAGCAGGTTGTGTAATTGTGTATAGCAGGTTGTGTAATGATATATAGCAGCTTGTGTAATTGTGTATAGCAGGTTGTGTAATGATATATATCAGGTTGTGTAATTGTGTATATCAGGTTGTGTTATGAAATATATCAGGTTGTGTAATGATAAATAGCAGGTTGTGTAATGATATAACGCAGGTTGTGTAATGATATATAGCATGTTGTGTAATGATGTATAGTAGGTTTTCTGATGATATATAGCAGGTTGTATAATGATGTATAGCAGGTTGTATAATGATGTATAGCAGGTTGTGTAATGATATATGGCAGGTTGTGTTATGATATATAGCAGGTTGTGTAATGATATATAGCAGGTTGTGTAATGATGATATAGCAGGTTGTGTAATGATATATAGCAGGTTGTGTAATGATATATAGCAGGTTGTGTAATGATGTATATGTATAGCAGGTTGTGTAATGATGTATAGCAGGTTGTGTAATGATGTATAGCAGTGTTGTGTAATGAATGATATATAGTAATGAAATATAGCAGTTGTGTAATATGTGTATAGCAGGTTGTGTAATGATGTATAGCAGGTTGTGTAATGATGTATATATATAGGTTGTGTTGTGTAGCAATGATGTATAGCAGGTTGTGTAATGATGTATAGCAGTTTGTGTAATGATATATATATATGCAATTTTGTATGTGTAATGATATATAGCAGGTTGTGTAATGATATATGCAGCAGGTTGTGTAATGATGTATAGCAGGTTGTGTAATGATATATAGCAGGTTGTGTATAGCAGGTTGTGTAATGATATATAGCAGGTTGTGTAATTGTGTAATGATATAGCAGGTTGTGTAATGATATATAGCAGGTTGTGGTTGTGTAATGATGATATATAGCAGGTTGTGTGTAATAGCAGGTTGTGTAATGATGCATAGTTGTGTAATTATGTATAGCAGTTTGTGTAATTATATATATGAGGTTGAGTAATTCTGTATAGCAGGTTGTGTACTGATATATACCAGGTTGTGTAATGATATATAGCAGGTTATGTAATTGTGTATAGCAGATTGTGTAATGATGTATAGCAGGTTGTGTAATTGTGCATAGCAGGTTGTGTAATGATATATAGCAGGGTTCGTTATGATATATATTAGGTTGTGTAATGATATATAACAGGTTGTATAATGATGTATAGCAGGTTGTGTAATGATATATAGCAGGTTGTGTAATGATATAAGCAGGTTGTGTAATGATATATAGTAGGTTGTGCAATGATATATAGCAGGTTGTGTAATGATGTATAACAGGTTGTCTGATGATATATAGCAGTTTCTGTAATTTCTGTAATTGTGTATAGCAGGTTGTGTAATTGTGTATAGCAATTTGTGTAATGATGTATAGCAGGTTGTGTAATTGTGTATAGGAGTTTGTGTAATTGTGTATAGCAGGTTGTGTAATTGTGTTTAGCAGGTTGTGTAATGATATATAGCAGCTTGTCTTAGAATGTATAGCAGGTTGTGTAATGATACATAGCAGGTTGTGTAATCATGTATATGAGGTTGTGTAATGATGTATAACAGGTTGTGTAATTGTTATACAGCAGGTTGTGTAATGATATATAGCAGGTTGTGTTATGATGTGTAGCAGGTTGTGTAATGATATATAGCAGGTTGTGTAATTGTGTATAGCAGGTTGTGTAATTGTGTATAGTAGGTTTTATAATGATATACTTTGTGTTGTGTAGATGATATATAGCAGATTGTGTGTGAACAAGATAATCCTGACTGTTTCATAATCAATTTTGTAGAATGTACGGTTTAGTAGTACGTATCAATTTAACATTGTTTTGAGTTGCAGAGATATATAGGTGTGACGTCTGTCTATCACGTGGAATGTGACATGGCGTAATAGTTGCTGAACTTCCATCTGTAGATGAGGAGGGCGGCCACCAGCACCAGCAGCAGGATGGACCCCAGTACGATAATCACGATGCCGTACTGTGGAAATCCTTCTGAAATGATACAGTGTCAATGATAGTGTCCTAAGTAAGCACGCTTGTGGTCGCTATACACACTAAGAAAATATGAGTTGTTAACGGACGACTATCGCCATTCCTTCACGTCATAAGACTCCACCGAAATTAGGGTTATTATATTTCTATAGTAACATGCCGTCTGATGTTTCCTAAGATATAGTCTGGCTCTATCAGACCCACACTATGTCTGCATCACAACTGTCTCCCTTTGGTGTACAATTGGCTCTATCAGACCCACACTATGTCTGCATCACAACTCTCTCCTGTTGGTGGACAATTGGCTCTATCACAACCACACTATGTTTGCATCACAACTCTCTCCTTTTGGTGTACAATTGGCTCTATCACAACCACTCTATGTCTGTATCACAACTCTCTCCCTTTGGTGTACAATTGGCTCTATCAGACCCACACTATGTTTGCATCACAACTCTCTCCCTTTGGTGTACAATAGGCTCTATCAGACCGACATTATGTCTGCATCACAACTCTGTCCCTTTGGTGGACAATTAGCTCTATCACAACCACACTATGTTTGCATCACAACTCTCTCCCTTTGGTGTACAATTGGCTCTATCACAACCAAAATGTCTGCATCACAACTCTCTCCCTTTGGTTGACAATTGGCTCTATCAGACCACACCATGTTTGTATCACAACTCTCTCTCTTTGGTGGACAATTGGCTCCATCAGACCCACACTATGTCTGCGTCACAACTCTGTCCCTTTGGTTGACAATTGGCTCCATCAGACCCACACTATGTCTGCATCACAACTCTCTCCCTTTTGGGGGACAATTGGCTCTATCACAACCACACCATATCTGCATCACAACTCTTTCCCTTTGGTGTACAATTGGCTCTATCACAATCACAACTCTGTCCCTTTGGTGTACAATTGGCTCTATCACAACCACACCATGTCTGCATCACAACTATCTCCCTTTGGTGTACAATTGGCTCTATCACAACCACACCATGTCTGTATCACAACTATCTCCCTTTGGTGTACAATTGGCTCTATCACAACCACACTATGTCTGCATCACAACTCTCTCCCTTTGGTGTACAATTGGCTCTATCAGACCCAAACTATGTCTGCATCACAACTCTCTCCCTTTGGTGTACAATTGGCTCTATCAGACCCAAACTATGTCTGCATCACAACTCTCTCCCTTTGGTGTACAATTGGCTCTATCACAACCACACTTTGTCTGCATCACAACTCTCTCCCTTTGGTGGACAGATGGCTCTATCACAACCACACTATGTCTGTATCACAACTCTCTCCCTTTGGTGGACAGATGGCTCTATCACAACCACACTATGTCTGTATCACAACTCTCTCCCTTTGGTGGACAATTGGCTCTATCACAACCACACTATGTCTGTATCACAACTCTCTCCCTTTGGTGTACAATTGGCTCTATCACAACCACACCATGTGTGTATCACAACTCTCTCCCTTTGGTGTACAATTGGCTCTATCACAACCACACCATGTCTGTATCACAACTCTCTCCCTTTGGTGGACAATTGGCTCTATCACAACCACACTATGTCTGTATCACAACTCTTTCCCTTTGGTGTACAATTGGCTCTATCACAACCACACCATGTCTGCATCACAACTCTCTCCCTTTGGTGGACAGATGGCTCTATGAGACCCAACTATGTCTGCATTACGACTCTGTCCCCTAGAAGGACAAATGACTCCATCACACCAGATGTACGTCTGCATCCAAACACAACACACAATCGGCTTCATCAAACAAACACAGCCTGACACCCTTACCATCAGATTGATCTTCTGGCTGTTGACATTTGGCTCCATCAAATCCACACTTAGGCACGTCTGGTGGGGGAGAAGTCTTTCCTCCAGCCCAGTGAATCATTCTCCCGGCAACCGGTTCGTATCGTTTCCTATTCCCGAAGTAGTTTGAGACAACCTGTTGATAGATTCAATAATTGTGAACCAGGCGCCATCATACAGCAAGAATGGTTGAAATATTTTACGACGCTTCATGTAATCTATCTTTGTAAACATTTTGACGGATAACCGAGCATTGTTTAAGTGTACAAGGGACCTTCACGTGTTAAGCCAATCACGCTTTCGGTCTGAGATTAGTGTGTTATATTTTACACGTAATACTAAACCACCTTAAGGTTTCCTCTCTCCTTGCATTGTTTCAAAACAACTTTGTTTTAATTCTTGGTCCATGACACTTACTTTCAAATTTCTATGGTGAAGCTGTTGCCTTTTACTCACCTTTTATTCAATTAATCATAACATTTCGTGAGAGACCCTTGTGACCGTCAGCATGTATTGGATTGCATTTACACTGATATCTAACAATAATGTAGTATTGAATGTATAAATAGTCATTCTTCGTGAAATCTGTTGATAGACTGTACTCACTGGTCACGTTTCATAAAATCGGATTGACACTCGCTTTACAGCAAATATTTATGTAAAAGTTTTCCTTTATTAACCACAGTCATTAGCCAGTTCACAATAAGGACAATACTGGTTACACATTGCATGTGACGTGACAATTAAACTGGGGTGCCCATTTGGCCCCAATTTCAGTTCACAGCCGTTAAATGTACAGGTAACAAATAGCTAGCTCTTCACTGAAAACACCAGGTGTAAACATGAAACAGTGGACGAGTGACAGTGATTTTAAAGTTTATGTAAACGTTTTGTCGCCAGTGTATTGGAAAGCAGCTACGTATATCCAGGTATAGGTGTGCCACAAGTTCTCGATCTCTCTTAGACCACAGACAAATATTCGACTTCCACAAAATCGGCACTGCAGATCACACCAAGTCCACCACCCACTACCGATGTTTCGATTTCCTACTGAAAATGAATTATCCATGCGGTAACGTGATTGTTGGTTAGCGTTTCTCATAATGAAGCATATAATTGTGATGAGACACGATAGTTTCACGTCCCACTGCGTACTTTAGATTACGTTATCACCATATAGATATCCTGACCCAACAAGTGACCAGTGATTACCCGTAAGTATTTAACTGTGCTCTAACTACTGACGCGGGGCGATGGAGTGGGGAGAAAGGGTAGCATTATGGTTCACTCCCCCGCTCGTCACGCTGCAGCCAATCACAGGCCATTCGATTCCCCAAAGTGGCACAATGCGTGAAGCCCGTTTCTGGTGTCCCCTGTCTTGTGTCTCACGCAATATTGTGTATCCTACCTCCAGTTTCCCGGTGCTAGGGTCGAGGTCTAGCAGCGAGTAGTCGCTGTCCCTGTCTCCATTGCTGTCTATTGTCACCGTCCCCGTGATACCTGCAACAATCAATGTTTACACTGTTGCAAATCTTCTTCTGGCTGCTTTTGTTGCTTCTACTTTGTATATATATATATATATATATATATATATTACCCTGTTTCTACCTGATTCATGCTTGCTTGACAACGAAACAAGAATCGTATCGAAACGTCGCATCGCCTGAATTAAGAAGATGTTCCTCTGTAAAGTTAGTGTGTCCTTATCTGACTCTCCAACTTCTAAAAATGCCACACAGAGAAGTCATCAAGGAGATCTCAACTTCATCACATAGCCAATGGTTGACTGCATGAAGAACGATCCACGACGGAAATGTACAAAGGCATACAATAACCTATCACATAGCGCTGGTCACCAGATCTGCATTAAGACGACCTTCAACAGATCCACGCAGAAATTAACGTCCGAGCTACCAGGAATCACGGATAATCAATCAGAACGAAATACAACTGTTGGATCAGAGATTTTGCAACAGACAGATAGTCCTGAATTCCGAGTTTCGAGTAGGCTACCTTACATATTCCCCTTAGCTTCTCATCTGAGAAACATATGTGTTTCCCATCCCAAGTGGCGACTGTCAGTAAGTCCAAAAGAACAATGGAATAGCGTGTATTGTTTAACCACGGAAAATGTGCGATATTACCATGTCTGATGCATTACTACACCGCAGGTATGAAGGCATATACCAGTCTTAGATCAAAACCTACTATATAAGCATCAATCAGTGAAATATAATTCCACTAATGGTACAGACTGTAGCAATGCATCGTTAAATCTCGTAAGACTGGAAGTATAGAATCCCCTGCTGTGACTGTGTGACGCTGTGTATGTCTACACGGTGCCACACATTCCAAACACACGCCCGCATTCCAGTGGCCCTTGTGACTACGTAAAGCCCCGACATGTGAAGACTCAGAAATAATTGGTTTTCAAAAAACTGTGCTTGTCGTAACACGCGACTGACGGGATCGGGTGGTTAGGGTCGTTGACTTGGTTGACTCATCGTATCCCAATTGTTTAGACGCTCATAATGTCAATGAGTGGATTGTTTAGTCTTGACTCGATTATTTACAGACCGCCGTCAGCTGTAATATTGATAAGTAAGGTGTTACAAACCAAACAGCAGAAAAATCTCCGTACCATACGTTAGGCACAATGTACAATGTTTGGCTAACATATCCTTATATCTCAGGTGAGTGGGGGGTGTGATCTGTTCTGGGAATACAACTGTTGTTTCTTCCCCACATTCGTAGTCTCTCTCCCCGATCCTAAATGATAATTGAATCTATAGCAATAACAACATTAGTTAAGGCACAGTACTCAAAGTCTTTTTCACCTGAACCGCATGACCCATGTAATAGAATTACTAGTGTAGACTGTTGGGGAGTAAAATGATACCTACCTGACGCTCACACCGCGTGTGGTCATTGACATATAAAGTAACAGCCAAAACTGTATGAACATCGGAGCTTAAAATATTTCACCCTCACTCGGTGAAGGTCCATACTGATATGAATTCACAGGAATGAAATCCTTTGCAACACAGTTTGAATCCAGATGGATGAGCTCTACGATTTTATGTTGGACGAGTTACATCTTTACATTTTGTGTTTACACCGACAGCACTACAGCTGAGTAGAAATAGTTCATTAATAGGAGATCTTACACGAACGTATGCATACCCAAGCTGTTCAACACATAGACTGGAATAATAGTATCAAAAGATAATATTTTTTCTTAAGAACTACACATCAGATTCAAGAGTGAGTGAGTGAGTTAATATTTAACGTCACATCGGCAATATCTCAGCCATATCGTGACGAGAACATATTTGACAATGAAATGGAATATACGTATATGATAAAAACCTGTCTACGAAGGACAGTAAAACAACTAGAATATCACAATTACAACTAAAACTAGTGTAGAAAGGTAAAACTAATAGCACTATTCGGACAATACAACATACAAACTGGCTATAGATCGCCAACAACTGAAGGTAGATCACCAAATTAGGGACCATGGGGACTTACATTAGTTTTGCTATGTGCATGGACCCTAGCTCAATTTATATCATCCCTTCAGCCGCTGGCGATTGAAGTCAAATTTAGCCAAAATTAAAATGACAAGAATACTACATTTAAAACAGCTGGTAAATTTAAATTTCCTTTGAATGTTTGGGACTTACGTACCCTCTCAGGAGGACAATAATTTTACGCTACTTCAACCCCCTTTGAGGGTACAGCCACTAACAATCTCAGTTACTAATCTAAACTCCCAATAATAAAATATGTATCTATTTACAAATCAGTTACCAAGTCTAATTCTTTTTAAAATGCAATAATTAAAAGAGAACTTATATTAGTAAAACGATCCTTCATGGTTCGTGCTTTGAAATAGTTATCCCTTGTGATGGAATCAGAAACAGGAAGTCAGATCATATGTAATCATATATTGTACCATCTGCCTCTGTTTCTGCCTCTGTTTCCACCATAATGCTTCAGACACTTCTGTTATCATCATCATTACATGTAGTCACCAACTTACAAAATATAAACATCTTTTACTTCCATATTTAATGCGAAAAAGAATCATGTTATGATAGGTTCTATATTCAGTGTTTGATAGTATGCAGTGACAAAACTTGCATATGTACCTCGAAATGTCCGGTTCCACATTCTGCTGGTGATGGCGACACCGTCAGTTACGTTCCCTCCAGACTCAAGGGTTTCATGCAGCGAGATAGCGTACAGAAACACAGCATCGTGGAAGGCGCCAACAAACAGGTTTACCTTCAAACAAGCAAGAGGATTATATACTACAAACAAACAAAATTGGACCACCCTAAAAATTGATAGTCATATATAAACTTAAACGTGGTGAGGTCATTTATACTCTAAGGTAAATGCAACTTTTTGTGTGCTTAATGGGCAGTTTAAACGACATGTTGGAACATGCAGTGAAGCAACTGATTCAATATTCGTTGAGTTTGAGTGAAATGAAACATTGTTAAAAACAGCGAAAAACAATGATGCTGAAACACGCCAGCACCATGATTGATTCAAACGCCCAAACACAACGGCCTAGTGTATGTGGTAGAAAGACTTCCCATGCAGCTTGTGGCAACGTTTCCTTTAAAAGAAGCTACAGGCAGTATTGAAGCCTTGCATCTTCTTCACCATGCCACAGAGCAAACCGTTAAGCGTCCGCAACAGAGGCAGGACCATTGCATGGTTACAGGATGGAGAATGCATAAGTGCTGCTCTCCGTCTTGAGGTGTCCCCAGGGACAGGTTCCAGGCCACTGGTAGAGTAAAGGTGAGACCTCGCTCTCGAATACCCAGAAAAGCATCAAGGGCAGATGACCGATATGCTATGGTCCGAGCCCTTCGGAACCGATTCACAACTGCCTGTGCCCAGTTGACACAAGCTGCAGGGGAAGTCTGTCTTCCACATGCACTAGGCTGTTGTGTTTGGGCGTTTGAATCAAACATGGTGCTGGTGTGTTTCAGCATCCTTCACTACATGTTCCAACATGTCGTTTATAGTGCCCATTAAGCACACAAAAAGTTGCATTTACCTTAGAGTATAAATGACCCCATCACGCTTCAATTTATATATGACTATCAATTTTTAGGGTGTTCCCATATTTTTTGTTTGTAGTTTTTATTTAAGATCGCGCATGACCGTGTGCTGGTCCATTGTTGTGACAGGTAATAGGTGGAGACAAAAGTGAAACCGTTAGCTGCCTGTGGAACTGTCACACTAAACAGAAGTTTGGTGAATCAAAAACAACAAAAATGATAGAAAAGCTGGTGTGACATGTTACTTTCACGTTGAGTATGGTTCTCGACTAATAATAGAGCAAGATCAAGAGTAACGTATTCACTTTTGAGATTATAATATTTTTTCTTCTATTTAAAAATTGGTTGTTATATATATATGTTTAAGATGAAAGGAGGTTTGACCAGTCACAATGAAGCCCTGTACCTCCTCCTCGTCATAAACGTAGTCTGGGTACAAGCTGGACCCCCTTCTTCTCACTTCCTTCGAGAACGTGGCGAACTCAGCACTGGCGGGGTGCCGGTGGGTAACTGTCATCACAGACTCATATGCCTTCTTTGCCTGTGTGTTTCTCTCTGTCGTGTCACTTCCACGGAACCAAGGTATACTGCTTCCGCTTTTCCAACTGTAAGCATAAGTGAATGCAATGATAATCATATTCCAATGATTTTTTTAAATTTGTTTTTATTTATCATGTTCCTATCTAGCCTTCATCAAAACTTCCAGCGTGCGCGTGTGTGTGTTAGCTTGCTTTCGTGCGTGTGCGTGTGCACTGAGTGTACTTTATCCTGCGACAAAGTATATTTTTAGAGTGTCTTGATATTTTGGAAAATCAACTTAGAGTACTCTACGCAAGGGAAGAAAAACAATGGTAATTCGTGCACAAATGTCCAAAGCCATGAAACATAAACGCCAGCAGCTTCTATGACGTCAAGGTAAAATGAACTGGTGTGTGTGTGTGTGTTAAAGACATATGGAGTGATTTAGTTTGATATGAACATCTCTTGGAACATCTCTTGTCAGCTTGATGTTGGTGTAAAGGCCGAGGTTATGAAAGTCACGCACATTATCCATTCTGGTGAAACCAAAGAGCACGAGTCTGATGCTGACAAACCTGGAAACAAAATCGGGTCGACCCAGGAATCGAGCCAGGAATGGAAATCAAAGTCACGGGGTTTCGCCCTGCCAGAGGGACGAATCTCTTCAGCGATTTGCTGCACCTGACACAACCGGGTGATCCGTTGGAACGTCAGAACGTCCAAATGAGTTCACGCAGGAGACAAATGTATCCATAAATTGAATGTAGCCTTCTAAAAAGGGAGATAAAATTAACTTAAACAGCTCATCTATTACAGACTATCTTTCCGTGAAGACAAGTACCATAGCTCCAAATATATGCAAACATGCCTTCTTCTTACTTTGAGAACATGTCCAGATTGATGACCACAAACTCGCCGTTGTCAAGCCCAAGTTGGGCGAACTGGATCATGATATTCCTCACAGTGTCGGGGGATGCACACAGCAAAATAACTAAACAGAAAAAAAATAAAGGTAATTTTCACAGTAAAGGTCTCAAGAAACACATGGACAAACCCATTTAATCCATGCCCATCACCGTCAGTGTGAAATGAACTGGATATAACATCAGTAATGTGTAACTCAGAACTATTATACGAGTTAGGCTTCCTTCCAGAGTCTTCGAAAAAACTCATTTATATATACTCCAAACCCAGCGTGTTAAACATGACATTCCGTCTTTCTCCTCCTTGTCACGTGCGTATTAAACACCATTGATCACCGCAAAGATTTCAGATTCAGAGTCCTCTGGGTGGATAATAAAACATGTAAGATGAAGTACAAAATATTGTGGAATTATATCAAAAAAGACATTTATTCAACCCAAAAGGATGCCAAAAATACGACGAGCTCTACAGAATACTTTTAATATTATGTGCGAAAACGTATATGAGATAAACAGTGAAGAACACAAACTTTGTACCATTAGAAACAGATAGCACACATATACCTAGACTTGTTGGTACACAAGGCTAGTGGGAAATGGTGTTGTAACATTGGTTTGAAAAACACATCGTATTCCTGAACGAATCCGTGCCTGAAAACGGATACCTACACTGCCAAAGCCTAATTCAAGCTTTGTTGGTAGATGTCTTTCATTCGTTGGATCTGAGACATGATAAAATAATGTTCTGGTTGGGCGTTTTGATTATTCCACACATAACCATATCCCCTTTTGAATAAAATATTCCCTTACATCAGTTACCCAATTTGCTTTTCCATTTTTATCATATATTATCATCATATCATTTTATGTTCATTTTATTATAATCTATTTATACAGCTCGCCCACCACGCCCCCATACTATAACAAACATGGCTTGAATCAATCTATCCTCTAAATGTCTGTATTATAAATATTGGAAATCGGAACTATGCCTAGAAATGCATTCATCAAAAATCACTGGAAAGAAACTCATTGTAACCTTATCCCGTTTTCGCTGCTCACCGCACGAGTTGTTTGTTGAAACTGGGCGTTATATCAATATTCCCCGTAATCGTAGAATTTGCAACATCTGTAACGTTAATGCTGTAAAAGACAAATACCGTTTTCTTTTCATCTGTCCCGCCTATGAAAACCTTAGAAAGAGATATTTAACATCCCACTATTATACCCAGCCAAATGAAATAAGAATGACTTTATTGTTAACAAATACTATTGAATTACAGAACCTGTAATCTGTAAATATATTTAACATATGCCTTCCTGCTACCCAGTTGTAAATATTGTGTATTTGCATGTGCAACAGGACTGTGGCCTTTTAAGTACCAAATAAAGATTGATTGAAACTTCAAACTTTGTGATAGATAGCGGACGTGTGCTGGTGTTTCTTTGGCATGTACTCTGTAGGCACGTACACGTACCACCGCCAGAGCAAACACGACATGAGTTGAAGTGAAGCCACTTGTTGTCGTGACACCACGTTAAAACAAGTAGTGGCACAAGTCCTCTGTCGCAGATCACAAGCAAATGCTCGGATTGCAAAGGCTTCACACTGCAGGTCACACAAGCTCCACCATTCACACTCGACTGTACTGTTTCCTGGGAGTTGTTTGGTTTTGAACAATCAAGTGTTTCTTGTTTACGCCCGGTCATGATACAACAAAGTGCATGGAAGGCAATGTTGGTGGTAGAGGATCCCTATCAGTGTTGAAAGTGAGTCTGGTCTTGGTGTAATGAGGGTTATCATTCACTGTCCTTGAGTACTGATCGTTATCACTAGTTGTCCTTCAGTATTGAGTGTTATCACTGATTGTGTAATGAGGGTTATCACTGATTGTGATTGTGTAATGAGGGTTATCACTGATTGTGATTGTGTAATGAGGGTTATCACTGATTGCAATTGTGTAATGAGGGTTATCACTGATTGTAATTGTGTAACGAGGGTTATCACTGATTGAAATTGTGTAACGAGGGTTATCACTGATTGTAATTGTGTGATGAGGGTTATCACTGATTGTGATGGTGTAATGAGGGTTATCACTGATTGTAATTGTGTAACGAGGGTTATCACTGATTGTAATTATGTAATGCGTGTTATCACTGATTGTAATTGTGTACTGAGGGTTATCACTGATCGCAATTATGTAATAAGCTTTATCACTGATTGTAATTGTGTAACGAGATTGTTATCACTGATTGTAATTGTGTAATGAGGGTTATCACTATCAGTGATTGTGCTTGTGTAACGAGGGTTATCACTGATTGTAATCGTGTAATGAGTGTTATCATTGATTGTGATTGTGTAATGAGAATTATCACTAATTGTGATTGTGGAATGAGGTTTATCACTAATTGTAATTGTATAAAGAGGGTTATCACTGATTTGGATTGTGTAATGAGGTTTATCACTAACTGTGATTGTATCATGAGGGTTATCACTGATTGTAATTATGTAACGAGGGTTATCACTAATTGTAATTGTGTAATGAGGGTTATCACTAATTGTAATTGTGTAATGAAGGTTTTCACTGAATGTGATTGTGTAATGAGGGTTATCACTGATTGTAATTGTGTAATGAGGTTTATCACTTATTGTGATTATGTAATGAGGGTTATCACTGATTGTAATTGTGCAATGAGGGTTATAAATAATCGTGATTGTGTAACGAGGGTTATCACTGATTTTAACTGTGAAATGAGGGTTATCACTAATTGTGACATAGTAATGAGGGTTATCACTGATCCCAATTGTGTAATGAGGATTATCACTAATTGTGATTGTGTAATGAGGGTTATCACTGATTGTGATTGTGTAATGAGGGTTATCACTGATTGTGATTGTGTAATGAGGTTTATCACTAACTGTGATTGTATCATGAGGGTTATCACTGATTGTAATTATGTAACGAGGGTTATCACTAATTGTAATTGTGTAATGAAGGTTTTCACTGAATGTGATTGTGTAATGAGGGTTATCACTGATTGTAATTGTGTAATGAGGGTAATCACTAATTGTGATTGTGTAATGAGGGTTTTCACTGAATGTGATTGTGTAATGAGGGTTATCACTGATTGTTATTGTGTAATGAGGGTAATCACTAATTGTGATTGTGTAATGAGGGCTATCACTAATTGTGATTGTGTAATGAGGGTTATCAGTGATTGTAATTGTGTAATGAGGTTTATCACTTATTGTGATTGTGTAATGAGGGTTATCACTTATTGTGATTGTGTAATGAGGGTTATCAGTGATTGTAGTTGTGTAATGAGGAATGTCACTGATTGTAATTATGTAATGAGGGTTATCACTGATTGTGATTGTGTAATGAGGGTTATCGCAACTTGTAATTGTGTAATGAGGGTTATCACTGATTGTAACTTTTAATGAGGGTTAACAGTCACTGTGATTGTGTAATGAGGGCTATTACTGATTGTAATTGTGTAATGAGGGTTATCACTGATTGTAATTGTGTAATGAGGGTTATCGCTGATTGTAATTGTGGACTGAGGGTTATCACTGATCGCAATTGTGTAATGAGGTTTATCACTGATTGTAATTGTGTAATGAAGGTTATCACTGTAATTGTGAAATGAGGATTATCACTGATTGTATTTTTTTAATGAGGGTTATGAATGGTTGTTATTGTGTAACGAGGGTTATCACTGATTCTTATTGTGTAACGAGGGTTATCACTGATTGTGATTGTGTAATGAGGGTTATCACTGATTGTAATTGTGTAGCGAGGGTTATCACTGATTGTATTTGTCTAATGAAGGTTATCACAGACTGTCCTTGTGTAATTTGGGTGATCATTTACTGTCCATGTGTGATGAGGGTTATCAGGATTGTCCATTTACTGTCCTTCTGTAATGCGGGTTACCATTTACTGTCCTTTTGTAATGCGGGTTACCATTTACTGTCCTTCTGTAATGCGTGTTACCATTTACTGTCCTTTTGTAATGCGGGTTACCATTTACTGTCCTTCTGTAATGCGGGTTACCATTTACTGTCCTTCTGTAATATGGGTTGTCAGGACTGTATTATTTAATGCGGGTTATCATTTACTGTTCTCGTGTAATGAGGGTTATTATGACTGTCCTTGTTTAATGAGCATTATCATTTACTGTCCTTGAGAAATGCGGGTGTTCTTTTACTGTCTTTATGTAATTTGGGTTATCATTAATGTCCTCCTGTAATGCGGGTTATCATTTATTGTCCTATAGTTATGGGGGTTATCTTTTACTGTCATTTTTTAATGCGGATTATCATGTACTCTCATTGTGTGAAGAGGGTTATCAGGACTTTCCTTTGGTGACGAGGGTTATCATGACTGTTCTAGTGTCATGCGGGTTATCACGACTGTTCTTGGTTAATGCGGGTTACCGTTTACTGTCCGTTTGTAGTGAGTGAGTGAGTGAGTGAGTTATAATTTATCGTCACATCGGCAATATTTCAGCCATATCGTGACGAGAACATTTTATTGTTATACATCTGTCCGTTTGTAATGAAGGTTATCAATTACTGACCATGTGGAATGCGGGTTACCATTTACTGACGATGTGTAATGCGGGTTACCATTTACTGACCATGTGTAATGCGGGTTACCATTTACTGTCCTTATGTGATGAGGGTTCTAAGGACTGTCCTTGTGTGATGAGGTTTATCATGGCAGTCTTTGTGTACTGAAGTGATGTTTTCACTGATTGTCCTGTGCAATCAGTTCCTGTCCTCGTTCAATAAAGGCTATGATTTATTATGATATGTGATGTTTAGTATCACGACTATCCTTGTGTTATGAGGTTTATCACTAATTGTCTTTAGTAATAATGGTTATCACTAACTGTCTTATTTAATTATGATTATCACCAGCTGTGTAGTGCGTGTAATGGATTTGTGCAATGACTAATACTAATCTTGTATTATCACTGATCAAGATTTGCTCGCTTCAACCAGTTGTTGTCAACCAATGTACTTGATGATTCCTGCTTGCGGAAATGTTCATTAGTGCGAAATCCGTTCAAGTAACAGTGAAACCACAAAGTGTTAAACTCTGTGTAATGATGTTAAATAGACTCGACTTTAATATGGAGTGGGAGTTTTTATAATACTTCAGCAATATCTCCGTGGATGCCATCTCACTCATGCGCCGAACCGAACCCGTATCTTTGGATTGAAGAGCAAGTGCTTTAACACTTAGGCTGCCCGCTACCTTCCCGATCTTGGTGTTGCGTGTGAAGTTCACACTTGGTGGAATATTGTAAAGATATACCATAGCAAACTGTCTCAAAGGCCATGTAACCAATGGGTAATACTCCGGTTCCACACTGAGGATTTAACGAGATCACTCAATAGCATTGTAATTAGTATCAGATACAACCATATCAGTCTCTTCTCTGTTTAATTTAGATCACCACGCTTACTTTTCATTATAACATGTGTCGCGAGTTTACCAGTTGAACGAATCAATGTACAGTGATATGCACTGACCCTTAACTTGTGCACTTGACCTTGGACCGATGTAGTATGATACAGTATCAGTTCTAAATATGAGACCAATTGCTTAAAATAATATATGAGACAATTAATGATACTTTGTGGCCGCCATTGAACGGGCAGTATGGCGACACGAAGCGCCAACAGCGTCGTTACATCAAACATTTTGAGAAAATATTGGCCTAAGGTATCTTAAATATGTCTATCCATTGGGGGATTGTGAGATGGCAAAACATTATTGACACAGCCTTTAATAAGTTTTCCTTAAAGGTGATCAATGTCTTTTGCAGATTGTTGGATTCAAACGTGTTAAATATTCTATGGCTAAGGCTGAGCCTTTCTTTACTATGTAATACCCATGTACTTCGTGCAGTCATTGTTTACTGTGCATTGAATATGGTATCAACATGCCGTGTTGTATAAGGTACAGTATGCCACATCATGGAATGATGTAGGCAACTGATTTACTCACCTCTTGTGTTGTTTATAGCTTCCTGGAGCAAAGCCTTCAGCTGGTCATCCCCGAGTGTGGGGCTGAAGGATTTATGCCAAGGTCTGACGGGAAAGGCTTTCTTCAGTGCCATGTAAACCGCTTCCGCTTGGAAGAAACAGCTTGACTTTCCTTTATTTGGACCGTATGTATGATCCGGGTATAGTATGCCAACATGTTGCCACTTGAAATGTGTTAGAATGCTCAAGACGAATTCCCCTACTTTGTTGTAGGGACCTATCATTCGTGTCAACAGCTTATACTCGGATTTATCGTGGAATGCACTGACCAAAGCTCCCGCGGTCACCACAGGTATACCCCATCGTTTGCTGAATCGGGCCACGGGCGCAACAGCATAATCACAGGCCGGCCCGATAAATACATGAGCGTTGCTTGTTTTATATAAGTCTATGGCTTCAAGTGGCCCCTCTGTTCCGGAACACTTACTATCTCTGATAGCAAGTTGAAGTAGATGGTTCGGTAAAATATCTGTGCTCTTTGATAATTGCTCTATGGCAATCTGTAGCGCTGGTAGTGTTTTCTGAATGACCCATGGATAGTTTCCACTTGAGGGCAGTAGCACTCCAACCTTGACCACATCACTGCCAAGGATACTCGTGCACATGCCAGTGACAATGAACGCTGCCCACATGTTTTGGTAGTCGTAGAAAGGTGAAGATCGAGGCTCTCTGAGAACACTTCAATGTCAACTATGTCATCTGTCCGTCAACATACAGAAGCTGCAAATAAATAAATGCAGCTGTTATGACGGTGGATAAAAATTGTAGTTAAATCAAGTTAAATTTACACTAACTTAAGATACATTACACAGATACAAACCCGCTTAGGTCCGTGTTGTATACGTATGGTGTTATACTCACAATGGAAAGGTTTAAAAGTTTCTCTCAGTCCAAATTAACACATGCTGATATTCGAATTTCCCTGGAGAGAATTCTTAACAATATCATTTCTACTTTAAGTGACGTATGTTAACTCCCCACAACATTAATAATATCTGAGTTTGCGACGGTGTAGGCTAGTGGTTTAAAGCGTTCGCTTGTCAGACCACACACATGGATACAATGTGTGAAGCACATTTCTGGTATCTCCCGCAGTCAAGAATTGCTGTCTGACTATTTCAACAAGCGGTGTAAAAGAATACTCACTGACTTCTAGTGACAGTAATGATATGAATGTACCACGCACAGGCATATCTCACAAGCGTCCGCCTCGCAAAACGCTTGCGTTACATCTGTGTCCCAGGTTAACGATACTATTGATGTAACTTTAACATCAGATTCTGTACAGTTACAACCCACCTTCAGTGTTGGATACACTGATGTGTATAACTGATATCTACCTTTAGTTCATGATTCTCTGACGTGTATAATTACAACCCACCTTCAGTGGTGGATACACTGATGTGTATAACTAATATCTACCTTTAGTTCATGATTCTCTGATGTGTATAATTACAACCCACCTTCAGTGTTGGATACACTGATGTGTATAACTAATATCTACCTTTAGTTCATGATTCTCTGATGTGTATAATTACAACCCACCTTCAGTGTTGGATACACTGATGTGTATAACTGATATCTACCTTTAGTTCATGATTTTCTGATGTGTATAATTACAACCCACCTTCAGTGTTGGATACACTGATGTGTATAACTGATATCTACCTTTAGTTCATGATTCTCTGATGTGTATAATTACAACCCACCTTCAGTGTTGGATACACTGATGTGTATAACTGATATCTACCTTTAGTTCATGATTTTCTGATGTGTATAATTACAACCCACCTTCAGTGTTGGATACACTGATGTGTATAACTGATATCTACCTTTAGTTCATGATTCTCTGATGTGTATAATTACAACCCACCTTCAGTGTTGGATACACTGATGTGTATAACTGATATCTACCTTTAGTTCATGATTCTCTGATGTGTATAATTACAACCCACCTTCAGTGTTGGATACACTGATGTGTATAACTAATATCTACCTTTAGTTCATGATTCTCTGATGTGTATAATTACAACCCACCCTCAGTTTATGATCCACCGATGTTTATGATCCACCAATGTGTATACCTACAAACCAACCTTCAGTTTATAATCCAACAATGTGTATAACTACAACGACCTTCAGTTAATGATCCAACAATGTGTATAACTACAAGCCACCTTCAGTTTATGATCCAACAATGTGCATAACTACAACCCACCTTTAGTTTATGATCAAACAATGTGCATAACTACAACCCACCTTTAGTTTATGATCCACCGATGTGTATAACTACAACCCACCTTTAGTTTATGATCCAACAATGTGCATAACTACAACCCACCTTTAGTTTATGATCCACCGATGTTTATAACTACAACCAACCTTTAGTTTATGATCCACCGATGTGTATAACTAGAATCCCCGTTTTACTTATGATCAACCTATCTGTACAGCTTCAATCCGCCTTGTTTGTTCCACAAGTGTATTGTTCAACGAAAGATGCAGCTTCAGCTCGTGCCTATTAAGTCCTTCAGCAGCAAACCATTCCATGCGTGGTTCAGATCCCACAAACGACGACCACTATATTGTCAGCGACCATGTTCTAGCTACGCAAAGACTACTTTTCACAACACAAATACTTTGTGGAGCCAGCCCTTCGCACAAACCGCATTTCCGATATATGTATGAAAGCGCCGTTTGTATGATATTAAGTTGACGTGTTTCCGTTCCAAATTACAATATGTAATGCAAGACGAAGGAAATAACACTTGATTTCTGTTTCAAATCCACAACACTCAGTGGCGCCTAATCAGCTGTGTTATGAACATGTGACTGATTGCCGTTAGTATTGTCGGCTTGTTTTACCGTACATGTAGATGGATGTATTTGTTTAAAACTTGACTTAACATAGTGCAAGAGAACGAATGGTGTTTAGGGTAGCTGTGTACAATATTAAAGTTGCAGCCACTGCCTGCTATATGACACGTGCCCCGCGTTGTCTGAGGTCTTGACATTGGAGAATTACTCGTTATTCCAAGACAGTCGCGTGCGAGGATGCAGTTAATTGAGATTTTCTCTTTCCAGAATAACTACAGTCCTTAAAAAACGTCAGATCTTTGTCTGTTAACAAATAGAAAATCACGTGTTGTTTTGGTATCCCTGGTAACCCACTGGAAGCAATGATATAGCTTTAGCAGGATAAGGAGTACACTGTCAGAGTACATGGGCACCTGTTCGTATTGCGCCTCTCGTGGAGTACGACAGGGTTGTTTGCTATCCCGGCTATTGTTTCCACTTGGTGCTTATGACCTAGCCGGGTCTTTAACAAGTAAACAAATGCCGCAATGAGATCAATAACAGACAGATAATTACTTTGTTTAGGGCTAATGCCACCCTGTTCCTCTAGTGAGGACATTTTTTTTGCGTTTGCGCAGTGTCCACAGACAAAATTCACTAACATTTGTCATTTCTGAAATGTTAAGATGTTCTTATCACCATCACCGTAAATATTGATGACTTAGATTACTATATAAATCTTGGGCTATTGTTTTATGACGGTGCCACTGGTGGTGCAGGATACGCTCACCGCGAACACCTGGTGTCATCACTATTTCATAGTGATTCATGTAGACATGCTCTGTCATCGTATCGCATGGTGACAATCACTGCATTGTCTGGTCAGACCCGATTTGTTTACAAACAACATCCTACAGCTGTAATACTGCTCATGTTATAATCAAAGTTGTACAATCGACTTTGCTTTCAGCGGATATCTCCAATGAATGTGGAATGGGTTTTGTCGCAACCTATTCATCAATGTTATTTAATGTTTGAGAGCTGCCGTATATGAGCTGGGAAAATTAGACAGTCGCGCTATGTGCATTATGTCCAGTAAGTTTGACGCGGGTAATTTCATGCTGATATATTTCAGAAACTTCAGGAACTACTGGGGCAACATAAAACCCCGTATGTCCGTGCTGTGCTTGAAGCATGGTTAATAAAGCATAATAAGGTTCAATGTTATAGATAACTACTCCTGGTCTATCACATACAACAAACCTGACTGCCCCCAACGGTCAACTCGAAAGCAATTTCCGAATTATCTGGACTATGTGTAAGCATTTAACATATGTGGCTTGATTCTACAACATATATCATCGGAAACCCATAAATACAGATTCAACAAACTTAAAAATAAAGTTTGAGAAAAGAAATTAATTTCATTTTTGCTTTTCGTTTCCATTTTAAAAAATCACTATCCCTCCATGGTCAGATGGCAAGGTTTTTCTTCTAAAATCTAAAATGAACGCTGCGAGTTGAAGTACTCATTAACTGCATGAATATAGTACAAAAGTCGTGATCCATGGAACTATTCGGGTGTGTGAAAGCCAATGACTGACTTCCCATCAGCTTTTGGCCTGGATAAGTCGTGACGTACAGCTTTGCAAATTACTATGCAAGATCGAAACGAGGTCACAGGCTAAATAATGGAGATAACCAGTCAATGATCAATACTTTATTCATACACAATATTGATGTGGTAAATATATCGAAAATTCATATACATGTAGTTCATCTAAAATCGTTAAGTACGTATAATATTAAATTACAGTACATGTCTACGGTTCATTAATAAACATGTAAGAGTGACAAACATGTGATTCACAACGGCTTAAAACGTACAGATGAAATTATTCTCACTTCTTCTACTCACTCCAAGTTTAAGACAACAAAAAGGCGTTACCCATCAGTGAAACACCAGCTAACAAATACTTCCTGCCTTCAATAATCTAGCTTGATTTCTTTCTCTTTAGAACTGGGAGAATCGTATCAGATTCCTGTCACGAGGTCTTGGTCATCGTACTTTGATATCGGTTGACATTCTGGTTCATTATGGGTTATTTAGGAGATAAACCTACTGTGTGGGAAAATCAGAGGTATATAACGAAATTATAATAGCTCTAAATTTCATTTAAAACCGAACGCGTAGCGTGAGGTTTTAAATGAACAATTTAGAGCTATTATAATTTCGTTATATACCTCTGATTTTCCAACACAGTAGGTTTATCTCCATTCTACCATGACAATTTTATGAACAATTTCAGGTGGAGCTCTTTCTTTGGTTACGAGTCAATACGTGAAGCGGCCTCGCATTCCAATCTCAAGTGGTATCGCCCGAAACGGGGTGTTTGGTGGCAAACCGTCAATGACTAACAAACTCCAGATTCAGTAATAACAAATCACGTTTTGGTTTTTCAATGCATCAATCACCAATCATTAACTGATAAGTTGGAAAACATATATCAAATAAGTTTGAAAAGCTTGGTTCACATTTGAAAATTCCACCGTAGACTCTTTCCCCACCAGAATAGTGGCAGCAACCTCATGGCCTTGACCTTTTTCTCGAAGTCATTGTTTACATTTGGAAAGACGCGACAGGAGAGCCACTGACAGTTTGCGCAAGGTTAACCTGATTGTATGACTGAGATAGTCTTTGATATCTAATTACTGGTACTGGTACAAAATTTAAGAGTAGGGGCGCTTTTGCTGTAACGAGAAGTCCGTGTTGTACCGAATTTAGATACTGTTGAATTTTGCGCCCTGTCAACTTGACGATTTCACGCACCTCTACGTCTGCGTGCGACAGCTGTTGTGACTCTTACACACTCATGTGTGTACTTTGTGCTCAAATTCGATTCTACGGATATTATTTTCTACATTTTGGAAAGTGTTTTGTGACCTAATGGCTTCAAAGCGTAGTGAATTCAAATTGAATCGGATTCGCTGGCATGTTCGCGAGTCTGTTGACAAAGAGCCAGATTTGTGGTGATATTTCCGAAAGGATGGATCAGGACACGAGGGTGTACCTCTAGCATAAACACGGTAAGGTAATTAATTATACTTTAATAGACTACTTTAGATCAAGCAGTGTAATGGATAAGAGGGATCATGACTAAGCTAAATAACTTTTTCAACGATATTATACATTTAGAAAAAAAATATGTTGGGCTAAACAGAACGGTTTGCAGATTCTGTAGATCTAATTGTGTTTTACTACCGCTAAATTTGAAACAGTACAAATTTCAAAATATCATTTTGTTTGAAAAGATAACCCAACTGTTTATTTATGTGGACGGAAGGCATTAAAATTAAAATTCGGCGTTCGATGTTAATGCATCCTCCGTTACCGGATCAAGATCAGTGGCGATATCGTTGACGAAAGCTGATAATAAATTTAACACGGAAATTTTGTAGCAGTCTATTGCTGGATCTATTCTGACATAACATAGAATCAACGTAAACATATTTGTTTTTGCTGAATTTTTATTCGGAAAGCACACGATGTTTTGATCTTGTTCGACTGAATATTTGTTTCCATGCTTTCGAAGTACTTTTGTATGTATAAACACCTATTGCTGTGATTTACGCAAGTAGTGAGTCGTGCCCGTCATCGCTAAATCCATCTTTAAAGACATATGTGTAATTTCCGACAGTAAAATCGCCGTAATTTATCGATGCATCGGTAGGTTGTTTGGTGTCCGCCATGTTAGTGGGCAGACAAAAATAGTGCATTACCGTAAACCATGTATGATTGCGCACGGAAAACAGAGACCTGTATAACGTGATTATATACCTCTGAATGACTTTAATTAACCAATCACAATCTAGTGTTTACTGAAGTCATGGTAGAATGCTGAATAAGGTAGTGAGTTGTGTGAGTAACAAAGGAAGCCACGTGTACAATAACACGTGTATGTTCGTGATTACAATACATGGTGCTTTATCGATCAGTGTACATGCTGGTTAATAAAGTTCAGCCAAATTTTATCCCATTCCAACTGCCGATGGATTGGAAACGGTCCATAGTACGATCACATCACAACAGATGAGACTGAATGGAGTCAGTTCAGTCCCATCTTGGTAGTTACATATTTTAGGTATGGAGTATTCTATGCCCATAACAATTACCGTAAACATTATAGGTCAATGACAAATTACACGATATAGCTTGTGTTAGTATTAAAATCAGCAAACTTAAGACGTTTTATTGTGTTTGCTTATCTGTTGTGAATTCAGCAACTTTATCAGTATTGCTGCCTTCTTAAAAGATAAAATCTCCCCTTATCGTGTACCTTATCGTGTATCTGGTGGCTACAATTAACACTATCGCACTTCCAAGTATCACCTTTCATGAATAATGTACCCCCGATTCATACAAAAGTCCTGATTATTTTTAGTGTAAAACATGTTTCCACATGTTCGCCAAGTGTAATGTGTCAATCTGAAGCCCACCAGGGAAGTATAACTGTGTAGAATTTGTAGACACACAGGGGAAATAGGAGAAGCCCTCAAACCTCCGACACATTGTCACTGGAAGTGTTAGGTGCGTGTTATGTGTACAGTGTCCATGTGTCGTATGCGTTTGCGTGTGAGAGATTTAGTGAAATACGATTTTGTTCAGCATCAGTGTCTGTGATATTCCTGAATCACCGGTGTTTGCAAATATCGAGTCTTGGCCAGGCACAAAACCAAGATTATGAGAAACGGCGAGTGATATCACATATTTAAATCTACGTGCCTTACTATAAACAACAAGCAGTATATTGTGCTACTGGATAAGAACAATTGTGTTCAATTTTCTTAATCCAGGAATCGGTTTTGAAAGCAGG